AGATTTAAAAACATACCACAAGCCAGATGCATTTCAAGGGGTTTCTCATCAGGCCCAGTAGTTGACATTGCCATGAAATCAACACAGTACTTACGTGCAGTCCATAAACCATGGAAATGAGGTTTGCTATCAGCAGATCCATTACCAAGAAGTGTCCTGTGTAATGACACTCTTTCGTGTGTCAAACAGAATATAATGGTGCTTTCCCTAGCCATGTACTGTCCTCTCTGTGAGAAAATTACCCACTCATCTTTTCTTTTTTTTAAGCTAAGCCTACAGCACACAGTATTCCTAAGCAGTCTTCCGTCCAAGTAGTACCCAGGCCTGTCCTTACTTAGCTTCTGAGATGAGGCACAATTGGGCATATTCGGGGTAATACAGCCACCAACTATTCACACATTTTGTCTGCCCTATAGGGAAGGAAAGAGAGCCAAGCAATTACTTTGGAATTGGCTCCCCAAATCATGGAATGTCTGTTTCCAGACATCTTCAAAAAACAGATAACCATTTGGCCCTGGGTCATTTTAACATCAGTTGACCTCATAGTTTTTTTGTTTGTTTTTTTGTTTTGTTTTGTTTTGTTTTGTTTTGTTTTGTTTTAGACGGTAGTCTCCCTGTGTTCCCCAGGCTGGTCCCATACTCCTGGGCTCAAGCAATCCTTCTGCCTCAGCCTCCTAAGTGGCTGGGACTACAGGCTTGAGCCACCATGCCAGCAGCCTGATAGATTTTTAAGATTCCTTTCAGCACTATGGTTTTGTGACTCTAATCTCTAAGGAAAACGTTCTTTGATGCCCAGAGCTTGCTTCTAATTTGATGTGATGCCAGATTGCAAAGTTATAGCTGATGTTGGATACATAACCTGTGTGCATATCACAGTGATTTTTCAGAACCCCAAACTTAACATAGCTGTTGGTATTGAAATCAGTTTAAATTCATATAACCCTCTATTCAATTATAGGTCATCTTTAGATGGTGGAAGATCTCTCTGAGGAGTGAGTATCGATCAACAAAACCTGGAGAACTGAAAGAAACCCATGAAGACTTCCTAGAGAATTCAAATCTTCAAGGTAAGGAAGGGAACATTTTCCATACTTATTGTTGTTAAGTTCTCTTTAATTAGTGATGGATTTTGTCAGAGAAGTTTCAAATATATCATCATCTAAAATATTAATATGTAATTATGTACTTGGATATAGAATATTAGATTCTTAAAAAACAGAAAATTATTAACACATCCTAAAATTTCTCTTTTAAAAAATTAAGTGTTAGGCCAAGCATGGTGGCTCATGCCTATAATTCACTCTGGGAGACTGAGGCGGGGGGCGGAGGGGAATCCCTTGAGCTCAGGAGTTCAAGACCATCCCTGAGCAAGAATGAGACCCCATCTCTACTAAAAATAGAAAAATTAGTTGGGCATTGTGGTGTGCGCCTGTAGTCCCAGCTGCTCGGGAGGCTGAGGCAGGAGGATGGCTTGGGCCCAGGAGTTTGAGGTTGCTGTGAGCTAGGCTGACGCCAGGGCACTCTACTTAGGGCAATGGAGTGAGGCTCGGTCTCAAAAAAAAAAAAAATCAAGTGTTAAAGATTCCAGATTAACATGTGGATTCCATTAATGAAGTCAAGTAAATATATATATTTTTTGCTATAATATTCGTGAATTGGGCAGTGCCAAACCACAAATGGTTTGGGCTCCACTGAGGAGCACTAGAGGGGGACACTTTTATAAGGTATTTTCGGAAGCAAGACAAAGAAAATATTTGATTGGTTAAAGTGGAAAGTGCCTAGTTAGAGGTTAGTTGGAGGTTTCTGACTGGTAAAGTCTCTAGTTAGAAGTTAGTTGGCAGTTTCTGATTGGGTAAGCCTAAGTTTCATTTGCCTAAGCTACAACCATCCATCCATTCTGAGTTGGGATTTGGTTTGCTTACATAGGAAGTCAGGGCACTGAAGAATTCTCAGCCCAGTGGCTTACCAATTAGTTATTTTAACACTTCTCAATGTGAAAATTTTAAACATAAAAAGTAGACAGAATGATTTTTAATGAACTCCTATGTACTTGAAGGAAATTGAAATATTTTACTGCAAAATAAATTTCTTTGACACATTTTGAGACGGCTGCCCTAGAGTCTCTCTCACAGAAGGAAAACTGCAAAGCTGTCTCTTGGAGGGCAGGGGTGGAATTTGCTTCTGTAGATAAGCAACCAGGTCTTTTCTACCCCAATCTAGAAAAGATTAACTGAGAGTCTGACACCTTTTAAGGTCTGAAAAGAAACATTTACCACCTATTCTGTCTGAGGGTTGCTGCCTTAAGGTTTCATTTACATAACAAGGCCACCTTTGCTAGCTGTCAGCCTCTTCCTTTTTCCTTCCCTAAAACCCGTTTTATCGCTTCCATTCTTCACATGCCTCTGTACCTCACTGAAAAGTTGAATCCATCCTGAGGGTTCCCGTGTACACATGTTAAATAAATTTGTATCTTTTTCCACCTATTAATCAATGTGCCTTGTGTCAGTGATTTTTCAATGAACCTTAAGGGGCAGGAACCTCTGCTCCCTACAGACTCATAATTCAGCTTCAACAATACCCAAAACGTGGCCAAAACCTGTACATGAACTCACTGTTTCCACTGGATTATTTTGAAGCAAATCCCAGTTGTTATGTCATTTCATCTTAAACTACTTTAGTATATGTCTCTAAAGGGACTCTCTACAGCTAAGCTCTTTAATAATTATTCCTTGATAATAAAAATTTAAAACTAGAAGACAGATTCTTACTAGTCATAGTTAACAATGTTATTTATATTAATATCAAGTACTTTCACATACATGATCACATTTTATTGTTACAATATCCTTGTGAAATAAATATTATCCCTGTTTTACATATGGATTCAGAACAGATGTGATCTTCCAAGGTTTTACAGCTAAGTATTGACATTGCCAGGACTAAGCATTGAAAACTTAAAAATTTAAGTATATCTATCTTATTTAGAAGGCAAACTCTGAGTGGATCTTTGATGACCAACATTCTTTTGTGTGTGTGTGTGTGTGTTTTTTTTTTTTTTTTTTGAGACAGGGTCTCACTCTGTCACCCAGGCTAGAGTACAGTGGTGAGACCATAGCTCACTGCAAACCTCTAACTCCTAAACTCAAGCGATCCTCCCACCCCAGCTTCCTAAATAGCTGGGACTATGGGCCCACACCACCATCCCCAGCTAATTTTTCTATTTTTTGTAGTGACAGAGTCTCACTCCTGCTCAGGCTGGTCTCAAACTCCTGGCCTCAAGCGTTCCTCCTGCCTCAGCCTCCCAAAGTGTGGGATTACAGACATGAGCCACCATGCCCAGCCCAATAATCAACACTCTTTTTTTTTTTTTAATCAACACTCTTAAACACACATTCTATTACTTAACATTGTATAGTAAGTGATTTTCTTTTTAAGAGACAGAAGGCTTTGGTTTTTTTGCTTCCTTAAATAGTTAAAGTCTGGATTGATTGCCTTCAAGAGCATACCATAATGGAACAATATAATATTACTAACTCCTTTACAGCAAGTATTTGTAAAATTCATTATTGGCTTAACAAGAACCGTGTTGGGGAAAGACTGTTCACTTTTGATCGAATATAAATCAGTCCAGTCATGCCTTCTTTAATTATGGAACAGACATGTTCCTACACAGATAGCTATAAACTTCTATAAAACACATTTCATTTTCAAGTTAGGATCCATTTATTTTCTAACCAATGTAGTACCTACCCCAGAGCTATGTCTAGCGAGTGCTGCATGTTCACTGACAGATTATGTGATTTTCTGATTGACATCCACAAAAACCTGGAGATGGGGATTTGGGCCAGAGAGATTGGAGGCCAAGGCCGGCCACTGCCTTCTGAGCACTGGCTTACCTGCTCCAGGTGCCTGCAATGGTCCTGCTCTGGTAAGATGAGGGGGGGTCCACGTTAGCGTCAAGATAACCGCATAAGCACTTGCAGGGTTCCTGACCCTGGAAGAGAATAGGCAATAAAGCGCGAATGTTGTGAGTTGACTGCAGGCCTGCCTCCCTGCTGCTCCCTCCTGCCCCACAGCATGGCAGCAGGAGAGTTGAGGGATTAAGTTAAGGAGTGTACCCAACCAGGCTTTTTAATCTTTTTTTTTTTTTTTGGTATCTTGAAAGGAACAGAACCAACCAGTCTTTTTAAAAGGCAGTTTTAAGAGCTGTAGTCTCAGGACTGCCTAGCGGCTTCCCGCCAGGAGCGGCACTGTGATACCAAATTAAATCAGCCTGGCAAGTTCAAAGGCTCCTGTGTCTCAGGGGAAAAATCTAAACAGCTGTTGTTAGTCTCCATCCTCCCTCTTAGACAATCCTTCAGAAAGTCCTCTCTCACCAGAGCAAGGGAGGAAGACTCGGTGGCCCAGAGTAGGGCTCAGGGATCAGCTGGCCAGGGCTCGAATCTCTGTGCTGCCACTGGCCACCTGTGGCGTGACCACGGTCAGTTGCACATGGGCTCTGTGAGTCCATTTCCTCCTCCTTACCTGGGGTCGATGTTACTCTCTGTGGTCCTGGTGAGCATTCAGCGACCTGATACATGAATGGAATTTAGAACCTTGCCGGATATGGAAGTAGTCTTAGTCATTGTTTGCTGTCGTGGCTAAGTATACGATGCTTGACTGGATTTATTTTTTCGCATCTCCTCTTCGTCATATTCCTAAGATCTCCCAGAAGGTTTTCTCATGCAGAGATCCTCTCCTGCTGGTATGCCATACCCTGACAACACCTCTAGAAGTCCAGGTCACCTGGTGGCGGTCCTGGCAGAGGATGAGCCCATGTCACTCTTGATGCCTTGGCCTCTCAGTAGCATTTAGCTCAGGGGTGACATTTTCTCCCGGGGCTTCCAGAGGGCACCTTGCTCTTGGCTTTTTTTCTGCTTCACTGGCTCCTCCTTAGTCTCCTTTGCTGGCTCCTCCTCATCCCTCCAAATTGAGATGTTGGGACCCAGGGTTCAGCTCTTGTGCCTCTTCTCTTGCCTGTCTATACTGACGAGGGCTGTCCGGAAAGTATCCAGACACATAATATGAAACATAGTATTAACAATGGCTGGATACTTACCGGACAGCCCTCATATGCCCTGGGAGATCAGATCCAGTCTCTGGCTTTAAACGTGCCCCATAAATGGGCAAGTCTCAAACTGGTATCTAATGTGAACTTGCCCCTAAACTCCACATTCAGATATTTATCTGACGTGTCCACTTGAGTATCTAATAGACTCTTAGCATGTACAAAAAGAGCTCCCAGTCTTGTGCCTCCTCCCCAAGAAAAAGGCCAAAATTCTGAAGTTATCCTTTATTTCTTTCTCTCACATGCTAGATCCAACCATTCAACAAAACCAGACTCTAAACTCTGGCAGGCAGTCTCCGTGATGACTCCCAGTGGGGCCCACCTCCCACATTGACCTGGATACCTAGGTCAGTCTGTGTGACCAAGAGAATTCAGCAGAAGTGATGGTATACCACTTTTGAGACTAGGTTATTAAAGACACTGCAACCTCTGTCTTGGCGCCTCTCTGCCTTCTCTCCCCGTCTGTCTTTCTGTCTCTATCTCTCTCTCTCTCTCCCTCGTCATGTTTTGGGGGAAGCCAGATGCCACAGCTTGAGGACACTCAGGCATCCCTGTGGAGAGGCCCATGTGGCAAGGAACTGAGGGCTTCAGCCAGCAGCCATGTGCGTGAGCTTTATTAGAAGCAGATCCTCCAGCCTCATGTAAGACCCAGCTGCTACAGTCCCAGCCAACATCTTGACTGCAACGTCAGGAGAGACCCTGAGCCAGCACCGCCCAGCTAAGCCACTCCCAGATTCCTGAACCTTAGAAATGGTAAAAGAATAAGGGTTTGTTGTTTAAGCCAGTAAATTTTGGGATAACTTATCATACAGCAATAGGTGACTAACAGCAACCTCTCTCCCAGATTGTTGAAGTAGCCCCTCACTGGTTTTACTCTTTCACCCTTGCCCCACAATACTTTGTTCTCAGCACAGCAGCCAGAATCAGCCTTCCAAAACATAAATCAGGTCATATTCTCGC